GAAATGATAAAGGAAGCCCTCATATCTGAAACAAGAAGCCAAAGGTCTATAATGCCTTGAGCTAGGAGATAAATGGACAAAATCAAAAGACTGCAGCTCTCTATCAGAACAGGTTAGCAAACAGTTAATTGTAACATAAAAGATAGAGGAAAGAAAGCATCAAAAATAACTATAAACACTGCAATTTAGGCACAAACTCACACAACAGAATAATTTGTGACAACTCGGAAGGGGAAGATAAAAGGGATGGAACCTACTTAGGCTAATGGAGCTAAGAGGCTATCAGAAAATGGCCTATCTCATCTATGAGATCTTTTATACAAACATCATGGTAACCACTAAACAAAAATCAGAATAGAGCCACAATTCATAAATAAAGAGAAAACTGAGAAAACCACCACAGAAAAGCACCAAACTCAAATGGCAGTCAGAAATATAAGGGAAAAGAAACAACAGAAATACAGAACTGGAAAACAAGAGATAAAATGAAAATATTAAGCCCTCATAGATCAATAATCACTCTAAATGTAAACAGATTAAATTCTCCAATAGAAACACACAGAGTGGCTGGATGGATTAAAAAACAAGACCCAACAATATATTGCCTCCAGGAAACATAGCTCAGCTCTAAAGACGAACACAGGCTCAGAGGGAAGACAATACTCAAAGCAAATGGTAAACAAAAGAAAGCTGGTGTTGCCATACTATATAAGACAAAGCAGAATTCAAGATAAAAATGACAATGAGAAACAAAGAGGGGCAGTACATAATCATAAAAGGACTTTCCACCAAGAGGACATAACACTTATGAATATACAGGCACCTAACACAGGAGCACCAAAATATATAAAGCGACTATTAGCAGATCTAAAAAGAGAAATTAACAGTAACACAATAAGGTTGTTGACAGGACTCAACAACCCACTTATCAATGGACAGATCATCCAGAGAGAAAGTCAACAAGGAAATAGTGGATTAAAATGAAACACTTGAGCAGATGGACTTAACAGATATACAGAGAACATTCCATCCAAAACAGCAGAATACACATTCTTCTATTCTCAAAGATAGATCTTATGATGGGAAACAAGGCAAGCCTCAATAAATTTAAGAAGAGGAAATCATATCAAGCATCTTTTCCAACCACAGTGCTATGAAACTGGAAATCCACTACAAGAAAAAAGCTGGGAAAGTCACAAATATCTGGAGACTAAACAACATGCTACTGAACAACCACTGGATCAATGAAGAAATCAAAGGAGAAATCAAAAAATACCTGGAGACAAATGAAAATGTCTCCATACCAACATTTATGGGATGCAACAAAAGCAGTTATAAGACGGAAATTCATAGCAATACAGGCCCACCTCAACAAACAAGAAAAATCTCAAATAACTAATCCTAAACTACACCTAACATAACTAGAAAAAGAAAAACAAACAAATCCCAAAGTCATCAGAAGGAGGGAAATAATAAAAATTAGAGCAGAAATAAATGAAATAGAGACTAAGAAAACAATAGAGAGGATTAATGAGACTAAGAGCTGGTTCTTTGAGAAGATAAACAAAATTGATAAACCCGTGGCCAGACTCACTAAGAAAAAAGGAGAGAATGCTCAAATAAATAAAATTAGAAATGAAAGAGGAGAAATTACAATGGATACCACATAAATACAAAGGATTATAAGAGAATAGTATGAAAAACTATATGCCAACTTATAATAGATAAATCCTTAGACTCATATAACCTCCCAACACTGAATTAAGAAGAAAGAGAGCATGTGAATAGACCAATTACAAGTAAAGAGACTGAGACAATAATCAAAAACCTCACCAAAAACAAAAGCCCAGGACCAGATTTCTTCTCTGAAGAATTCTACCAAACATTCAAAGAAGATTTAGGGCCAGCTCCATGGCACAGTGGTTAAGTTAGGTACACTCTGCTTCAGTGGCCCGGATTCACAGGTTCAGATCCCAGGACGTACCTACACCACTTGTCATGCCATGCTGTGGTGGCGACCCACACATAAAGTGGAGGAGGACTGGCACAGATGTTAGCTCAGGGCTAATCTTCCTCAAGAAAAAAACAAAAGATTTAATACCTATCCTTCTCAAACTATCCAAAAAACTGAAGAAGATGGGACACTTCCTAACTTATCCTATGAGGCCAACATCACCCTAATCCCAAAGCCAGACATGGACAACACAAAGAAGGAAAATTAAAGGCCAATAGTGCTGATGAAAAATAGATACAAAAATCCTCAACAAAATACTGGCAAACCGAATACAGCAATACATTAAAAGGATCATACACCATGATCAAGTGGGACTTATGCCAGGGACACAGGGATAGTTCAACATCCGCAAGTCAATCGAAGTGATACACCACATTAACAAAATGAGGAATAAAAATCACATGATCATCTCAATAGATGCAGAGAAAGCATTTGACAAGATACAGCATCTATTTATGATAAAAACTCTCAATAAAGTGAGTATAGAAGGAAAGTACCTCAATATGATAAAGACCACATATGACAAACCCCACAGCCAACATCATACTCAATGGTGAAAAAGTGAAAGCCATCCCTCTGACAGCAGGAACAAGACAAGGGTACCCACTCTCACCACTCCTATTCAACATAGTACTGGAGGTTTTGGCCAGAGCAACCAGGCAAGAAAAAGAAAGAAAATAGATCCAAACTAGAAAGGAAGAAGTAAAACTCTCGCTGTTTGCAGATGACATGATTCTATATATAGAAAACCCTAAAGAATCCATCATAAAACTATTATAAATAATCAAAAACTACAGCAAAGTTGCAGGGTACAAAAAAAAAAACTTAGAAAATCAGTTGCATTTCTACACACTAATAACGAACTAGCAGAAAGAGAAAAATACAATCCCATTTACAATCGCAACAAAAAGAATAAAATATCTAGGAATAAATTTAACCAAAGAGGTGTGAGAGCTATACACTGAAAACTAAGACATTATTGAAAGAAACTGAAGAATATATAAAGAAATGGAAAGATATTCCAGGCTCATGGATTAGAAGAATAAACATAGTTAAAATGTCCATATTTCTAAAGCAATCTCCAGATTCAATGCAATCCCAATCAGAAGCCCAATGACCTTCTTGATGGAAATAGACCAAAGAATCCTAAAATTTATATGCAACAAGAAAGACCCCGAATAGCCAAAGTAATCTTGAGAAAAAAGAACAAAGCTGGAGGCATCACAATCCCTGATTTCAAAATATACTACAAAGCTAAAATAATCAAAACAGCACAGTACCGGCAGAAAAAATGACACACAGATGAGTGGAACAGAACTGAAAGCCCAGAAATAAAACCACACATCTACGGACAGCTAATCTTCGACAAAGGAGCCAAGAACATACAGTGGAGAAAGGAAAGTCTCTTCAATAAATGGTGTTGGGAAAACTGGACAGCCACATGCAAAAGAATGAAGGTAGACAAGTATCTTATACCATACACAAAAATTAACTCAAAATGGATTAAAGACTTGAAGGTAAGACCTGAAACCATAAAACTCATAGAAGAACATATAGGCAGCACACTCTTTGACATCGGTCTTAGCAGTATCTTTTCAAATACCACATCTACCCAGGAAAGGGAAACAAAAGAAAAAAATAAACAAATTGGACTACATCAGACTAAAAATCTTCTGCAAAGCAAGGAAACCAAGAAGAAAACGAAAAGACAACCTAACCCACCAACTGGGAGAAAATATTGGTAAATCATATATCTGACAAGGGGTTAATTTCCAAAATATATAAATAACTCACACAACTCAACAACAACAAAACAAACAACCCAATCAAAAAATGGGCAGAGGATATGAACAGACAGTTTTCCAAAGAAAATATACAAGTGGCCAACAAGCACATGAAAAGATGTTCAACATCACTAATTATCAGGGAAATGCAAATCAAAACCACAATGAGATATCACCATGCACCTGTCAGAATGGTTATAATTACCAAGACAAAAAGTAACAAATATTAGAGAGGACATGGAGAAAAGGGAACCCTCATACACTGCCGATGGGAATGCAAACTGGTGCAGCCACTATGGAAAACAGAATGAAGATTTCTCAAAAAATTAAAAATAGACATAGCATATGATCCAGCTATCCCACTACTGGGTATTTATCCAAAGAATTTTAAATCAACAATTCAAAGAGATTTATGCACCTCTATGTTCACTGCAACATTAGTCACAATAGCCAAGGCATGGAAGTAACCCAAGTATCCTTCAACTGCTGAATGGATAGAGAAGATGTGTTATCTACATACAATGGAATACTACTCAGCCATTAAAAAAGACAAAATAGGGGCTGGTCTTGGGGTGTAGTGGCTAAGTTGGTGCACTCTGTTTCGGCAGCTCAGGGTTTGCAGGCTCAGATCCCGGGGTGGACCTACACACCAGTCATGAAAGCCATGCTGTGGTGGTGTCCCACATACAAAATAGAGGAAGATTGGCACAGATGTTAGCTCAGGGCCATTCTTCCTCAAGCAAAAAGAGGAAGAATGGCAACAGATGTTAGCTCATGACCAAGCTTTCTCACCAAAAAAAAAAAAAAGACAAAATTGTCCCATTTGCAACAACATGGAAGGATCTTGAGGGTATGATGTTAAGTGAAATAAGCCAGACAGAGAAAGACAAACACTGCATGACTTCACTCATATATGGAAGATAAACAAACACATGGATAAAGAGAACATATTAGTGGTTACCAGAGGGGAACAGGATCGGGGAGGGTAGGGTGAAAGGGATAAAGGGGCATATATGTATGGTGACAGATAAAAATAAGACTATTGGTGGTGAACACGATGCAGTCTATACAGAAACTGATAAACAATAATGTACACCTGAAATTACACATTATAAACCATTATGACCTCAACTAAAAAATATATGTATTATTCTTAAAATCATCGTGTTTTCCAGAATACAGATAGTCACAGTAACACTTACCTCAGTCTTTTTACTAATGTGATCTGTAAAGGAAAAAAAAAAATGATGAGACTTCATTGAAGAAATTAAAGTATTTTAATAGGTAAAAAAATACTTAAAGTAATTGCAAAGAATTTCAAAATTATAATAAGAGTTATAGAAGTCTTTTGGGGGTTATCTAGGACTCGTCATATTTACTTTCCCAGGGATAAGATATTAAAATTAAGTTTGTAATTACTAATTTGCTCTAGTCAGAGACTAGGTCTTATTATCCCAGTAAATGCCACACATATGAAGCAGTATTATTAAATTTTAAACATTTGAATTCCATATAATTTAAGGTTTTGGTTTCATGTAATTTTTTGGCCGGGGGAGACTTGAGTGGGGACAAATCTTTTTAAAATCAAACCACAGGGTACTATAACTACAAAAACTGTACAGATCACTGCCTTTGTGGAATAAAATAAAAAGTAGAGTAGTAATTTGTGTCCTTTAAAACCATTAGCTAGTTTTTTAATTTTAAAAATATACCTTACAGTGATTTGATAATACTATGAAAAAACTCCTAAAAATTAATGTATATTTCTAGAATGAACACCCAAAAGAAGCTGTAACATATTTATCAAGATTAAACAAATCAGTAACAACACAGCATTTCTGGAAAGGGATTACAGAATGAGGAAAAAGAAGACATAATGGAATCCACACAGATATAAGGTTGAAACTAAAGTACAAAGAGGGAGCAAGCGTTCTTATTTAAATTGGAGATGATGAGGATATCTAATATTTAACAATGCTTCTTGCACACAGCAGAAATTTTCCATCCTCAAAGACTAAAAATCATCTAATAGAATAGCTTTCTTACAATTGAGGATCTAAAAGCTAGTCCAGTTCTCTGAAGTATCCATCGATCAGAATAGAGTCCATAAACACAATAAATGTGAAAATCACAAGTTTCAGATCAAACTACCGAATTCTAGTACAGTCATTCTTCTAGCATGTTCTACTTAGCATACAATGTGATGCCAGAACCCAAGAAAGAATCATGACTGTGTTAATCATGTCTTGTAATACTTCTGTAGCTTCCTTTAACAATATCACACACTGATATCTTTCTTAATCCATCTAATAAATTTACATAGCACTTAAAATATCAAACATACGGAAAATAAATTAGGAGTTTTAAAAAGCATTCTTTTCATGTTTCTGCCTAGTTTTTAATGAAATATATTTCTTACATAAAATCTTTCTTAAACTAGAAATTTTATTTTAACATAAATCTTTTTTTTTTCCCCTGAGGAAGATTAGCCCTGAGCTAACATCCGTGCCAATCCTCCTCCACTTTACATGTAGGTCGCTGCCACAGCATGGCTGACAAGTGGTGTAGGTCTGTGCCCACAATTCGAACCTGTGAACCTGGGCTTCCAAAGCAGAGAGTGCTGAACTTAACCACTATGCCATGGGGCCGGCCCCCATATATCTATTTTCTTAACCCCAAAACAAAGCAACTTAATCAGAGAGGCAGACTGCAGGAAAAACTTTCCTGATCCTTAAAGGAAAGCAATATAATCTTCTAAACTTACTCTTAATTTCACAGATAAGCTTGTTTCCGAAAACAGTAAAGTATTTAGGCTTTTTTTTTTTTAGATTATTGCTGGGGTATTATTAATCCTCATGGAACAAATGCCCACTGTAGCGTCAAGGCTAAATTCATATTAATCAAATAGACTGCTCTGTAAATGAACAAACAGCTGTTCATCTGGTCACCAACTATTTTGATTGGTATAAGAACAGTGTTGTTCAATACGATTTTCTGAGATGATGGTAATGTTCTAGATCTGTGCTGTCTAATATGGAAGCTACTAGTCACAAGTGGCTACTGAGCATGTGAAATGTAGCTAATGCAACTAAGGAATTTCTTATTTTAGTTTTTCTTTATTAATTTACCTTTAAGCTGCCATACATGAATAGTGGCTACTATATCATACAGTACAGATTTAGGGTTTTCACCATTTCCCATATCAAAAACAATATGCTTTGTGGTCTTATCTTCAAAAATTTGGTGGATGGTATAATTTTCTTCAGTATTTTCTGTTTGATAACAAAAATACAAATGATATTATAAAGAGTTTTCTGGTCATAAGTCTCATTCTAAAAATCTGCATGTTAATTTTCTAAGCTGTAGTTCCAGACAACTTGAAGAGGTGGACCAATAATGGGATGAAACCTGAAGATGCTCTTCCTGGTCTAAAGCCAGCCAAATCACTGTATATATAAAGACAATAATATGTTTCAAGATGACTCAAAAACTACAAATGTCAATTTTTATTTTCAGTGAGCTTTAAAAAAGGGACAAATTCAGAAATATCAATCTAGTTTTATGGGGGTATGAATGACTAATTTTAAACTACTACCCCCAAATGGTTTATTTCCAAACAGGTTGACATTTTATATTCTAAATAACACATTAACAAAACCACTTTACTTATTTTAAAAATTAGATTAAAAAAGTACTTACAACTTAAGTATACAAAGACTTAGGATAGTTTTTCTAGCATAACAGATTTCATACATATATTACCTTCAGATTGAAAATCTTTTAGTGATATCGTGAGAGGTTTGTCTTTTCCCTGATGGTTCTTTCTTTTATCTTTTTTATTCATCACTTTTGACTGAGATGAAGCATTTTCAGCATTTTCATACTCCTAAAAAGAATTACCAATGATAATTAAGCTTGGTTTACACTAATAAAATCAACTCACCAATAGGTAATATGTCTTTAAAAAATTTTTTTAAGATAAAAGGCAAATAAAAAATAAAAACTTACTTTAGCCAAATTATATATAAGGATACACTTTAATTTATACACTCAATCTCTTGACTCTTAAACATTAAAATAAAAGCAAAAAGTTACGCCTTGATCTATAAACCCTCCTAGTTGCCACTTTCTTCTCCTCCTTCTCCACTTCAGGAGCAAACTTAAAACAATAATCTACAGTCAATTTCCTTTCTCACTCCCCTGAAATCTGGCTTCTGCCGTTTTCTGATACTAAAATTAAGGTCAACCTCCCCTCCAATGGTAAATCCAAAAGACATTATTGTTTCAAGCATGTCTTAGGTTTTTCAATATACTTCTGACTACTCGTAAGTCTCCTTCACTGGCTTCTCTTTTCCCAACTCTGTTCTTAAAAATGTAGCTGCTGTTCACCATTATTCCATTCTTAAGCTGTTCTTCTTAGGCTTTATACCCACCGTTCCTCAAATTCTAAGTTTAAAGTTCTACCTATACACTGATGATTTCTGTATGTACAGACAACTCAACTGGAATGTTTAATAAGCATCTCCAGACTACACATGCTCACTCTGCCTTCCCTACATCATCCTCTAAGTAAGCACCTTGTTTAATGCCACTAACATCTACACAACCATCCAGGCTAGAAACCTCAGAGTCATTCTTGCCTACTGTTCTACACACTTTATATCCAAATTAGTCACTAGATCTTGTTGAGTTTCTCTGCTAAAGATCTCAAACCTATCCTCTTTTCTTCACACCTTCTGTCATTTCTCCTGTCTTCTTTTGCTTGACACTGCAACACCCTCTAATTTTAGCCCCTCAATGTATCTTCCACAGTGCTACAGCATGAGTTTCTAAAACTAAAACTCTAAATCAATCTAAAAGTTAAAAATATTCAATAGCTCTCTGCTAACAGATGTATAAAACCCAATCTCCTTAGCATGGTACGTGAGGTTCTCTATATCCTATCCTTTTGTCAGTATCTCCAGCAACCCTGGGTCCCTAAGTTGTAGTTTTCCAAATATGCTATACTCTTTCACATGTATATTATCTTGTATACTTGCCACTCCTTCCCTGAGAATGCCTACCAGTGAACTTCTAATAAATCTAGTAAAACTCATTAAGAATCCTTTCCTAAAACCCATCCCCAATAAAGGCACAGAAAATTCTAACATTCTGAATTCCCACTGCACTGAGAATATACATCTCTCAATAATATACATTATAATTACATGTATGTCTCCCTCCACTAAACTCAAGGGCTGGGACCATATCTTTATCTTTGTATTGTGTACCTAGCACATTTAGACTATTCAAAAAAATATTTGGTGAATGAGTGATAGAACAGAATAGAAAATGCCATCCCAAACTTTAGCTATTATAAAAATTCTTAGGCTAGAATAACTATAGTTATTTTACTGGAATATTGACTTAAAACTCAATGACTGTATCAATGTAATCATATCAAACTAGCCATCGCATAAAAAAGGAGTTCCTCCATTCTCTGAGAGTCATTATTATCTGATAAAACCAATGCTTTTTGGTACTAGGCCTATGACTGTGCCAAGAAAACTGGCTGGGAGCATGGTATCTTATCAATACCATCTACTCTACTCCTCCTCTGTAGATCAGCCAATCTTTTTAGTTTTAGAATCTAGACATATATCTAATAACAACAAACCATTATTGTATGATAATGTTCTATTTGATAAACTTTATCTTCAAATTGAGCAAGTCAGGAGGACTTTTCCATTGTAACCTGAAAGTCCATTTAAATGATTAAATCGCAGTAAAGCTAGCTGTATCCATTGCCAGCTTTATGTCTAAATGGACTGGTAACAATAAGGATTACTTATTCTTGATTAATCAAGATAACAGGAATAGTGACATGGAAAAGTGAAACTAACACAGTGTACAAAGTCATTTTACTGGCAACTTTCATCCTCTTCCCTTGAACTATAAATAAACAGAAAAATCATCTGTTGTAAATTTTAATTCCTCTCTTCCCTTCATCTTGAGTGAAGGAGCTAGTGTACAATGACATAGGCCCTTAAGCATGACCAGAGGACATTTATGATCAACCACTGAGTAACTACAAGTTGAATGACTTTTATGGACCAAAAAAAATTCCCAATACACGTAAAGGACTAAAATGTTAAATAATATGAAGATAATACAAATGTTCAATTTAAATACAGAAACTGGAAACCAACAGTACTTTTTATTTAAATGTTCCTACACAGTTACAAGCTGTAGAATGCATTTCAGCACACAGCCCAATATCATGGCTTAGTGACAAATGCTGAGTTCACAAGGCCAAATTATCAGAACTGTCCTCTCATTTATTTTAGTTAATTGTAGTGTATCTCCAGCAGAGGGTCTCTTAATGGATGCCCCTGTACTCATACTTACTTAAATTTTTAAATCTACTTATATAGAAAATATGTTCATTTAAAATAAGTTAAAGTAAATCACTGGCTGTTGGTTTCATTTCCTCTCTTCCTTTCATCTTGGGTGGAGGAATTTCTTAACTAAACATTTCAAATCACCAGACAAAGATTAATCCACGTTTCTGTTGTCTCTCAAAACTTGAGGAGGAAGCTTATCATAAAAATTTTGCGATAATATTCTGCTACAATGATGAATTCTTAGGACAAACTTTAAAGAACTTTTATACAAAATTCAGACAGGTTGGTCCTCACCTTTGACCACTTAGACCTAAAATATCTAAATTGATAAATGTGTAAATACCTTTTTATGTTCTTCATATTCTAATTTACTTAGCAACAATGCCTTCTCAAGATCTGCTTCAAACATTTCAGACGTCAGCTAAAAGAAGAAAAAAGTTTCACAATAAACAGATGATAGCATTATACATGATATGTGGTATAATGATAGCATTTTACCACACTAGCAAAACAGCCATGACAATATATATAGGAAAAGAAAACAAATACCGTCATGTGTCACTTAACAAGGGGGATACATTCTGAGAAATGCATCATTAGGCAATTGTGTGTTGTACAAACATCATAGAGTGTACTGACGGGGAACAAAATCTGCTACCCTAAAATGTGTCTCTTTAAAATGAGGATTATGGGGCCAGCCCCATGGCCGAGTAAGGTTAAGTTTGCACGCTCTGCTTCGGTGGCCCAGGGTTTGGCCAGTTCGAATCCTGGGCACGGACATGGCACTGCTCTTCAAGCCATGCTGAGGCGGCACCCCACATGCCACAACTAGAGGGACCCACAACTAAAAATACACAGCTATGTACCAGAGGGCTTTGGGAGAAAAAGGAAAAATTAAAAAAAAAAATCTTTAAAAAAAATAAAAATAAAAAAATAAAATGAGGATTATTTTAGCCTGATTATCTTCTTAATCTAGCTCATATCAATTTAATTCTTAGACCAGCAAGAAGAGCCTAGAAGGGTAGGGGAAAATTTCTTCCTCCCCTTCAGTACTTACACAAATCTAGATAGTATAGTCTACGAGACACCTAGACTATATGGTACTAATCTTATTGGACCACCGTTGGATATGCAGGCCATTGTTAAACAAAACATTATGCAGTGCGTGTCTGTATATTAAAAAACAATCTGGGTTCTCCAAAGTTACCTATCCATGCCAAAGTAGAGGATTCTGTATTTTACAGATGATACCAAAGCAAAAGCTTCTAATTTTGAGATTTCTATTTCCCCTTTTATTGTCCATTATCTGTTGTATATCATATAATCTTTTTAATTAAAAAATCTTACGAAGAAATTGACACTGCAATAGATGTCAAAGACAGTATCCAGTTTAAGACCCAAAAAATTTAATAGTGATTATTACCCAAAAATATAAGAATACTGAAAAAGAACTCAGTAAGCATTGTAACACATACCATTTTCTTAATATAGACTAATCCACAGGTATAGAATCTTTAAATAAGGTGACCAAATGTCCTCATATATGCCTGATGTTAGAGAATAATTATAGTACATCATTTTACTCCTATCCTTATATCCCTTTTATATGGTTGCCCTACCTTTAAAGTTATCTGATACTATAATAAAATGATTCTTTGTGATCTATATCTTTTGGTTTCTCCTTCTCACCACTCAAACTCACCTTAATTTCTTACAATCTAGCTTCCACCACCCTCCAATCAAATTATTCTCCAAGAATTACTTCTAAATGCCAAACAGAATTGCTACAGTATTTGTATGGGACTTTGGATTGTCCACCAATGGGGATAAAGTATGTCTGCAGGTGAATATAGGGAAAGTTGCAACATGATAGGAGTAAACATCCTGGATTTGTACACCAGTGTGTGTTGACCTATCCATACCAGATAATGAAATCATAAATTTAGTGGACATCTCTTGTTTTGATCTGTCCAGAAGCCCTTTCTTTATTCCTTTGAATAATTACTCTTCATTCCAAAGTCCTATGATTCTAGCAGGACAGTCAATCACATAATCCTGTATATCACCCACCCCCGTACCCACACAAACATCCACACTACAGTCACTTACAACAGGGTGGGGGCAAGGGATCCAACTCTTTTTTTTCCTGTCCTCGGAATTAAATTTTAAGAACAAACACGAAGCAAGTGGGGTTTAATCATCCGATTATAGCCCTCTAAAAGTGAGAGTACTAGTTCGACTAGTTCAAACCTCTGAGCACCCCAGAAATCCTCAGTCTCCATCCTTCCCAGGACCTAGTTGTTTAGTTCTTAATTCAAATATGTGAATTACTCAGTATCCTTTCAACGAATTATTTTTTGCCAAAGTTAATCAGAATTGTTTCTGTTGCTTAATGATAAAAAAAAAACTAAACTAAAACAGAAACCAACTCCAAAAAGGACTAATCTGTTTCAAAGGGATACCTGGGAAATTAGAAAAATGTAATTGGATTCGTGTAAGCAAAAAAGGAAGTTTACATTAATTTCTCCACCTAAACTCAAAGCAAACTGAACACAAACTATTTCACTATATTTAAAGCATAGTGGTCATTCCAACTTAGAAAAAGTAACAAAACTACTCAAGTTTATTCTGAACAAAGCTGATTCAATTTACCACTAAGTTTTTAATACACATTAATGACATTTAACACTTATGGAAAGGGCATTTAAGATTATTTCCAATATATCTCATATTCTGACTGATATTCCAAAAATAAGTTACTAGGCAGGAGAATAGGTTAAGAAGTTTGGAGCCTTGCAAGATGTCATTATTCTTTTTCATGTTAACTCATATAACTATAAATATTAAAGTAGCTGATTCTAACAGCATGATAAAAACTAAATGAAATGGAACTTTTTGTGTGTGTGTGAGGAAGATTAGCCCTGAGCTAACTGCTGCCAATCCTCCTCTTTTTGCTGAGGAAGATTGGCCCTGAGCTAACATCCGTGCCCATCTTCCTCTGTTTTATATACGGGATGCCTACCACAGCATGGCTTGCCAAGCAATGCCATGTCTGCACCCGGGATCCGAACCAGCGAACCCCGGGCCACCCAAGCGGAACATGTGAACTTAACCACTGCGCCTTGGGGCCGGCCCCAAAATGGAAATTTTAAAGTGAAAAACATGGCTCTCCTCAGATCTGGTTCTAAACGTAGCAGTTTAGAGCTTAAATTTACCTTTTAATTATTAACACAAACTAGTATACAAGGAAATATAAGTAGGAAAAATGATTTAAATTTCAATTTAAATCTTTGAAAACTACAACAAATCTTCCAAAAATGTCACTGCATGATCAATCAGCCAATAAGGATTTAGAGAGAACCTTCTATGCACTTTGCCTGTAGGGTTTTAAAGAAGCAGCATAAATATGATTTTTGTCCTCAAAGAATCACAACTGCAGGTGGAGAAGGAGACTAAGACATATAAAGTATGGGAAATAGAATAAGACATTAAAAGTGCTCCAAAAATTGTGGGGACAAAAGATAAACAACAAATAGAATTCAGAGAAGCATACGGAAAAGAAACTAATTTAAGTTGGTCCTTAAATGACAGATGTAATTTGGATATGTAGAAAAAGGAACAGAAAAATTTCAGGAGGAAAGAGTCACGTGAACAAAGGTATAACAAGAATAAGTATACTATGGGATACCAAGGAAAGGGATACCTAATAAAAGGTGAATTCTACAGAATATGAGAGATACAGAAAAAATACAGGCTTTGGGAGATCACACAGGTGGATAATTTATATTCTATTCCACCCATGCTAGCTGTGACTCTGGGCAAGTTCTATATCGTCTATGAATCTCGGTTTCTTCATACATAAAAAGGAAATAGAAATATCAACCTTGCAGGGTAGTTTTGACGACTTAAAGCTATAATATATGTAAAGTATCTAGCGTAGTGCTTGCCTGGTACAAGAGTTACACGCAGTAAATCAGAATCCCCATCCTCTATGTTGGAGAATAATAGAAAATAAGATTATTCCGGTAGGGTAGAATTAGCTTCCAGACACTCCCTAAAAATTAGGGATTCAGGGTAGATGAAAGAGGAATGCTGATAAAAATAATATTAAAGAAATAAACTGGAATATTCCAAGAATGCGAACTTAGAATCAATGTGTCTGGCTAAACCACTGTAATCTCAACATATAGGAACCGTGACCAGAATATAGCAGTGCAGAAAATAAAGAAAGCTAGATCTTAGAAAAGACCAACCAAGTTTTGGAACACTGAATATGAGGTATCAAAGAAGAATTAATCAAAGATAAGATTTTTTGACCCTAGATAACAGGGAGAATGGTAGCACAAGACTAAAACATCAGGAAAGAGAAAGAAAACATGTAAAGAATTCCAAATTCTTTAAACATATCTCAATTAGAGAATGAATTAATTATAAGACTGCTGTAATTATAGTCATCAATCTAAATAATCAGTACATGTATAGCTAGAAGACGGAAGAAAAAAAGAAAGGCTGGGCCTAAAAGACAGGCACCAGGCAAGAAAATGTAAATAAAAACCAGGATTTTTTTTTAAAAACCTTATATTTAAGTTAGCAAACTGAGAATTCCTCATCATTTTCTTTGTACATATGGGAGAAGGAGGAAAAGAAGAAACAGGAAACAGTAGACATTAAAATGCCTAGACGATTGAAGAAGATACTTACATGTGCCCAAGATGGAGTACTTCAGATCCCCTTCCTCTTGGCTTCCTTCATTGCCTCCTACTTCCCATCTAGTAGTAAAACATTTTTTTTCTATTTAACAAACCTATAGCTCAAGGGTTTATGATCAGTTAAAGAATAGGAAGAACCAATGAAAAATGGGAAAGATAGTAAATATTTTGGAACTAGATTTAAAATTTACCCATTTTAAATCCAAGCAAAACAAACTCCAAATGAAGAGCTAATCTTCATTTCTCATAGGCATCATGGGAACAGGGTTATTGGGGTTTTTTTCCCTTCTTTTTTTTTAAGATTGGCCCTGAGCTAACATCTGTTGCCAATCTTCCTCTTTTTTGTTTTTTCCTCTCCAAAGCCCCCCAGTACATAGCTGTATATTCTAGTTATAGGTTCTTCTAGTTCTTCTATTGGGACGCTGCCTCAGCATGGCTTGATGAGCGGTGCTAAGTCCGTGCCCAGAATCCCAACCGGCAAACCCTAGGCCGCTGATGCAGAGCACATGACCTTAACCACTCGGCCACGGCCACGGGGGGTGGCCTAGAACAGGGTTATTGTAAAACAACACAGAAAATCATTCTGAAGACATCTAACACTTGCAGCCAACTGTTTAGCCACAGTAGCAGTAGTGCCCTGTGGTCCTCTAACTTAGTGATTTTCAAAGTGTGGACCACATGTCTTTCACTAATTTGGAAAGTAGAATTATTT